TTTTTTTTTTTTTTTTTTGCTTTGTTATACAGGATGTTTTTTTCTCTGGTTGGGTAAATACCAGCTCGTTAGTCATTTACTTTTCCAGAATCTAGAAGCAGAAGGCTAATGTAATAATGAAACTCTGACCTGGTTGGGCCTTGATGCCATTTCACACTGCAGTTTTCTATTTCTTGGTAAAACACATTTCCATCCCAGAATAATTTTAAAGTTAATGCTGTTGTCACCTGGCACCTTTCGGGGGAGACTGATGGTCACAAATTGCTTTTCTAGGCATTCTCTACAATGGGCAGGCATCAGTGGACACTGTGTTAGGCCCACACCAGAGATGACAGAGGGCCATGGGGGATGCTTGCACTATCATTGTAGGGCATAGGGTGGAGTGAGTTTGTTGTCCCAGGTAGGAGGTGAGACAATGATCTGCACTGGAAGCTCCTTGACCTTGGGTTAAGGGCTTTGTGGGACGAAGAATAGAATGGAGAGCAAGGAGTGAAGGCTGCTCAACATTACATCAAAATCACCTGGGGAGAGAGGGTCAGATGTTGTCCTTCTCCCCTTTTTGGATAGGAGAATTTATAAACCACAAGCATCCCAGGTTCTGATGACTAAGGTTTGGAGCAAGTGATCACGGTCTATAGCATTTGCATTAAAACCCATCTTCCTCTGCTTTTTCGGCTTCAACGCTGAGAAATGGCACAATGGCCATGGAAAGGATGGGGTGGGAAGTTGCAGCTCTGGGTAGCAGTTCTGGAAGCAGCAGGACCCACAGCTGAGCAGGGGGCAGCTTACTGGGAAGGATTGGATCTCTAGCCTAGAAGGCTGTTTCTCTGCAGTTCGGCTTGTCCCCTCCTCCTCTTCTGCCATCCTCTTTGGGTCTAGCAGAGAACCTGTGAGGATCCCCCACACCCCATCCACCTGTCTGCCCTGAGATGGGTCCTTGTGCACAGATTTGCAAGCCTGGATCCACAGCATCATCTACTCGCATTTTACCTGCTGCATTTTAAGTAATTCTTGCCTCTTTAGTGTCAGAAAGTCCTGGGCCTGGATGGAAAGTTTCTTGGGGTTTAGGATTCTTCTTTCTCTAGAACATACCTTCCTACATCTTCTTCCAAGGAATTTCCTTGGCCTTTGGGGGCTGGCAAGTTTGGCTTTGGGGTAAGACCTGCATAGGGCTCTATAGCCAACTTTGATGAATTTCTTTCCCACTTCTTAACCCATGACTGAGTAGTGTTGAGTAACCTGCTATGCTTGTCTGGTGTGCAGAAGGGATCACAAAAGATAATCTAAGCCCCAGACTCACTGAAAAGAGACATGAAAAAGGACCAGGTATCTGGTTTTGACTAAGACTTCATCACCCCTTTGCCATCAAAGGTCCATAATTTCCCTTTCCCAAGCTATCATGTGGCCCTCAATCCTTTAAAAGGACTTACATGTTAATAAGTCAGACCACTTACTGTTGGCATTCAGCATTGGCCTGGTAGCAAAAGCAGCCACTGAGGAGAGAGATGTCAACTGCTTTTTCAGTGGCTTGGAGGGGGACAGTCTTATTCAACCTGTGATTAACTGGAGGTCCCAAGCGGCTCGAGATTCTGAGATTCTTCAATGTTATTCCTGTCTGAATTATTGCTTCCCTCATTTGCACCATCCCTAGAATCTTACGGAAGGAGATTCCTCAGGAAGCTGGCACCTACCTGCTCTTGTCATCTATCTGCTGTGGGCCTGGGTTTCCCACAGTGGCCAGTGAAAGCTAGTCATACTGCTCACAGCTCCATGACTGTGCCACAGCTTTTATGGGGGCCAATGCCTGTCCCATGAGATAGGTCTCATCCAAGCCAAAAAGTGGGCAGAAAGATGAGAAGTGAGGCTCTTCAATGAGCATCTCTTTGAAGTTCGCTCAAGGCGTTACGCAGGCCTCCATTTTTACCAGTCTGTAAAATGGATTCCGTCTATGTATGTGTCTTGCTTTCAATTGGACATAGTGGCCAAAACCCTGGGTCAGATGATGACAAGGTCAAAAGTTCTGAATTTTTATCATTGAAAAACTCAACCTTGTCTCCTAGTAATAGGGCAAAGAGAAGGATGCACACTTATAGGTTGGGAGAAGACATTCCCTAATGCTGAAGAGAATGGAAGACAAGAGACAACCATCCTGACTCATATGTTTTGTTATATGATGAAAATAGACAAAATGTTCCGTATTCATT